ATGATTTCAAGTCGAAATATTAAAGTAAAAATTTTCTTTGTTCCGACACTCCACCTAGCAAAAGTCCGATCCAAGGAGTGAATCCAGATCCTGATTTTCCACAATTTTGGATTTTGAGGCAAAAAGTAACGAATTCTAAAAGAGCAAGAAAAATGGGGATCAATCGTGTAATTTGTTTTGTTTTGGTCGTAAAGGAAATGAAATTAATAGCACCAAAAGTATGGACCCGCACGCCACTTGTACGTACGCCTATACAACGCACCCACCTCCCGAAGGTACAAGGTACTACAATTGGCCTTTCTGGGGCCAAAATTTAGCGCTTACTAGCACTGCTATGCAGATTGAAAGGTTGTTCKTTTTCCGCAAAACCAGACCAAACATACTAAAATCCAATGCGACTTCTGTTTTATCCGCGCTGTGACTTTGATTCGCAGGAGTATCGATAACTATGCTAARGATTATCCAAACACGGTTTCTATATATTGTAAATGAATCAATCGTAAAATTTGGTTACTTTTTATTTGCGGCTCTATATCTAATCGTCGAAYCGCACGATATCCCATTTAGCCAGGCTRTTGTCCTYACRCTATGTTTTAAGAAAACGCAACTGCACGGTACGCGGTCTGTAACTATGGTAAATCCAGACTTACTTTCTATCCGTTTTGACAAGCTGAAAAGTGGAGCAAGGAAAAAAAATTGCAAGCCTGTTGTATCGGATAAAAAGGATGTCCACTACTGGATTGGTCTGTATCGTGTCTTTTTTTAAAAAGGTTCAAAATGGCTTTAAATGTGAAGCGTTCAAGGTACGGGTAAAGACTACTACATCCCGGGCGGTGAGGGACCACATAAAATATACAGTAAATGTATGTAATTTGTGCTGTGAGGTAACCGTGGGATGCACTCTACTACACCCGGTGTAATCTTTTCCTCAAAACACATCATTCATTCACTAGCTATTTAATTTTTCACACGCTTCAGAATAACGCCTTCTGTCAATGTAATTTCTAAAATAAGCTTACTTTGGTGTCCTTTTGAGTGTTGTGATCTTTGTAAAACTAGCTACTCCGAGCTCCTTCACACGCTTCAGAGTGACGCCTTCTCCTGTCAAGGGTACCCCCCTCCCCCCAGCGGATTTGATTTGATTCAAAATATGCTAATAATTTGACAAAATACATCAGCCGTCTTTTTGAAGCGTTAAAAAAGTTTGAAAACTTTGATTTTCGGAGATTTTCTGTGCATTTTAAGAGTTTCTTTTGTGTTCATTTCCGGGATTCCTGTGGTAAGGATTGGTCACCCTGTGGTWAAGCAAGATGGCGGACGAACGCAAGGAAAGAAGAACTGTTGTAGAGCGTTATTTTACTCGAGGTTACATGACAGGTAAGCCACTGAACAATACGAAAAGAATCAAGAACATTGATATATCTCATACGAAACTCCAACGGTCTTTATAAGCACCTCAGTGAAATATTTTCTGGTGAAATAAAGTTTTTAAAATTAGCGTTTCTTCATGCGCAAGCTTCATCCCTGTTTTCTTTATTTTTAGATATAAATGGAAACCCAGGAGAAGACCAATGTGTTCTGCTACATTCAAATAAGTAAGACATATTTAATTCTTTTATTCTTTGGAGGTTTTTGCGTTGTTTTAAACTATTCTGTTATTTGAAAAAACTTTTTTTTTCTCCCTCCACTTCAGGATATGTGTTATTACCATTTCACCCCAACACCCAGCAGTCAAAAACGGGTCAAAAGTAACCGATATTAACTTCCAAGTCAGCCTCAAAGTCAACAGGCTTGATAGTAAAGCTGTTGGCAAGTCTAAGAAGGGAGCTCAATGGCTAATGCCTGATTCACCTCTCTGTGAAATTTCTTGTTCTGATGGAAAAAAATATATCTTGAATAGGTAGGACAAGACCTDYCCTGCTAGCAGAGTCTCCCTCGAATCACCAACAAGGGAGACYCTGCTTGCAGGGAACACTAGACCATGTACCATTTAGTATTTAGAGGAGCACGGGGGTATTCCACTCATTTGGTAAAAAAATTGGTGTCTCATTCTGAAGCTAATGTAGGGTCAAAAGGATTGACCCTACCCAAAGTTTAATTTTAAAGTTTTGTAAGCCTTAAAATTATTTTTATTCCATGTCAGTCAACTTCCCTTGAAAGTCTTCTAATTTCAATTTTGTTTTTGCTAGTTGTATGAAAGGCAAACTTATTGAAATTAATGAAGAATTGATCATGAATCCTGGGATCATAAAGTCAAAGGTAAGATATCTGGTTGAGCTGCATTGTATTATGGACTGTTACATGCATTAAACTGTGCTTTTGCTGTGTATGTAATCTAAACAGGTAAAGCAATGAAACTTGGATAAAAAAAGCYCCATAAAAATCGACCCCTATTCAATCTGAGCTGCACTCCGTAGCCAGAAATGAGTCATATGGCAACTGCCTATGGTGCCTTTAAATGCCTTTGACTCAGCTATGTTGAGCCGCATCCTTCACAATTCAGCTATTCAGTAAGAGCTGCAAGAAAGGATGAATAGCTACTCCAAATAGTTTAGGAGACTATAATTTATTAAACCAGAGGGTAGGAAAGATGCATAACATTGGACAAATGACTTGAAAAGATGGTTGGAGGCATATTGCCAATTTTTTGGACAATGCAGGAGCATTACRAACCTTGAAGGCTGGGGGAAGGAATATATATTTCACCCTTCATCTCACCTTGGTAAGTTTTATTGTGAATAAATTGTTTTCTTTTCAACTATATTTGCAGCCAGAAACAGAAGGATACATTGCAGTAGTTCTGCYGAAATTGCAAGAAGTTACTCTTTATTTTGATAAACTACATACCCCAGAACAATATAACAAAATACTAGAAGAAAGAAAAATTGTGAGCAATGACACTGGTGAGTCGTTAAAATAGCTTGAATTCTTAGCTCTTGTATTTAGACAGTTTCATGTTTCCATAGCAACTCTTCATGGAAGAGTTAACACTGGGCAATAATTTCTCTCTCTCTCTCTCTCTCTCTCTCTCTCTCTCTCTCTCTCTCTCTCTCTCTTTCTAGTGGGGCAAAAGGTTCTCAGCTGGTTGTACTCAACTTCAACTTACCAACTTTTTGTGACAGGAGAATGAAGGCATATTTTGTTTCTTTTAAAGGAGAGGAATCTGATGAAGTAAAAATTACCTCAGAAGTCACATGAATAATGGACTGAAAGAAATAACATCAAATATGGTAAAAGATTTGTGCGGCCCTGTAGTTCTAKTCAATCTGTACCGGTAGGTCATACAATGACTTCATCAACAACCAAGTCAGCATCTTGTCAGCTCAAATACATCAGCATAACTCAAAACAATGATGGGAAATACGAGTCTCAAGATGACAGCGCAAAAGTTTTTTTTTTTTTATTGTGTCGCGCCGCCATCTTCAAGGCTTTCGTTCTCATCAGGGAATAAAAAAGCTACAAAACACATCAAAATCTGMATGAAAAATTCTCGTTTTTTGTAGCTTTGAAAATTACCAATAAAATATCCGTTAAAAATAACGATTTTTATAATAGTATTGTTTTCGAAGATTCCTTTTGCTTCATGAGTTGTCCCCGAAAATATATTGGCCTCGTTTGCTTTATTTTTTGCTTTYAGTTAATTTTTAGACAATTGCTGAATATGCGCTGGCTTACTGAGCTCTTTCTGGTTAACAAGTAAGAGCCACTAGGGTCCCAGCCAGGCTCTGAGGTCGAGCTGGAGTGGAAACTACCAAAGCGCGCGCATTTTATTGACGCATTTGACGTCATAAACACTGCGTCAGTCGCCTCTGGTTTAGATCCGGCCGGCAACCACATAGCCGGGATGGTTTTGTGGCAGGCCATCAAAAGTCTTGAAATTCTCGACAAACCAGAATCGATATTCAATCGACGCTTGGCAGCCAATCCTTACTACCCATTCCAGAAGGACCACGAAAAGAGTAAGCTTATTTTTAATTCCTTTTTTTTAATTTCCGTTAGTTTTCTTCCGCGTGCGCGTCTTGCGAAAGTTCGACATTTCCGGATTTTTCAGCCCATGATTTTTTGAAAAAAATTGAAAAAATTATTGAAATCTAAACTTCTCTTTCTCATTGAACAACAACCTGAAATGATTTCGTTCAACTTAGGTGTTGCGTTTATGATTTACGCTAATTTCTTCGMAAAGTACGTTGTCTTTTGAACATGCACTTCGCTTTTTACTACAARTCCCCGAGGTATGCATTTTCTTGCGTTATTTTCGTATTTTTTGGTGATCTCTTCCACTTTTTTCTGGTAAGTTACTTGGCACATTTTTTTATCGTATCGTATGTGCTGATTTTCCATCTGATAAAATTACTGATTATTTTCTATTAATCTTCAGAGTTTGTCCTTCATTTGGATAGACGTAGGTATTACTATGGGGTTTTCATGGCGTTTGCYTGTGCGCTGATCGTCGCTGTTTGGTTGATGATAGATGAAGCAAACGTGAGTAAAACATATCAGTCATCTTACATTTCAGCTCTTGTTACCATCACTAAGGGGAATGTGTTATATAAACTCATGATCTGTACAGGTAGTGAGATTCGATTTAGAAAACTTCATTTTAAAACTCCAATGCGGTTAGAAAGA